TATTGTAAATAATGAGTTAGAAATTAAAACAATTTTTCTGCTTTCTCCACAAATAAATTATATGGTAATATTAGGAACAGGTAAGAAATGAGCTCGCTAGGTTGAAAACCCATAAAGGGCGACCTAGGCAAAAGTTAGAGTTTATAAAAAAAAAAAAAAACAAAATTTTGAGATTAACGCATGGTGCTTAGTTTAAATGCGAAATCTATGCCATGCGTTTGTGACATACTTGCGACCGGTTGCTTAATGCCATCAACCTGACTAGAAGGAGAATAGGTGAATGAGTAGTTAGAGTAAACGACTATTATATTAAAGTAGTTTTTCTTTGCTTCTGTATGATGTTGAAAGAAGTAAGATCAATAAAGAGCTTGATTTTCAGATTTTTTTCTCCCATTTTGTCTATAGGGTATGATTGTTGATTACAAGACCTTCCTCTCTGCTTATTTGGTCAGAATTTGCTCCTTAGTTTTGAAGATGTTGTGGCCGATGGTCCTGCCTGAGTGTTGGATTCTTTTAGATGCCGATCAGGAGGTCAAATTGTAACACCCACCGACCAATCCCGGAGAACCAGATGGTGGATACCACAATCGGTGCCGGAGCACCGTCTTATGTCACTTATTAAAGCTAGATCACAAATTAGAAGTGGTTAATTTTCATAAGGAGGCAAGTAATTAAAATTTTGTTTTTTGTTTTTTTTATACAGAAATAATGTTTAAGGAATTTCCTATGAAAATTTCACAAGAGTTTCCCCTAAAAATTAACTTGCAACACAAAGAAAATATACACACTTCCAATTTTCTCCAAACCCCCAAAACTCCAATTCAACATAACATACCACAAGCACTTCTAAATATCCATCAACATAATATCCATCAACATTACGCATAATATCTAAACAGCATTCTTTTCCAAGGAATCTAGTAATCATTCATTCACCACAAAATATAATAAGATGTTTATTTCCTTTCAAATAATCATAACTCTTAAATACATTATAAACTTATTGTTATCCTATACCTCCACAACACAATATTTATATACATGACCAAAAATATTTATATACATGCCAAAAATCACCATTTACAAAATATCCTACCCAAAATGTGATATCTACTCTGATGCTACTCCTTTGGTCTTGCAGAACACCCTCTGCTCCTAACCTGCGCGTGATAAAAATCAACGCGCTGAGTGGAAGACTCAGTGGTGCTAAACAACCAACAATTAAAATAACAAGAATAGCCAAGGCAAGTCTCACAAATGCTTTGAATTACTCAACTATATAAATACCGAAATCGCATTCATTTCATTCAAATACTTTGAAAGCAATAAGACGATTATAAATACAAATCTGTCTTCATTCTTTCAATAAAATTTCATTCTTCGTTAAGGCTCGTCTCCACTCCTGCCGAAAGGTGGCAAAGAACATAAGCAGATTTGATTCGTGGCCGGATATTAGCCGCCACCATCACATATCGTCAGCCTATGAAAGCAACCACCGAAGCCTCATGAAAGCACCAACCCCATCACACAAATAAGCGCGTCGACTCAAATTATAAGGGCTGAAGTAAACCTAGCATATGATTCATTAGCTTCACAAAATAAAATCCATCTCATTCATTACCACGTCTCAATCCATGCAAAGTAGAGCCCAAATCAAAATCATTCTTCTTCACAAAAGCAATAATTCTTTAATCACTTAATCAAAACCTCTTCATTTCTTAATACACATCAGTTCAAAATTTTTACTCAAAACATTATAGATATATATATACTTAATATAGTATAAAAGTACATAAATCAAGAATTTTTCAGCATTTTCATAAACTTGACCTTTGCTGGGTTTTTAACACATAATTTGAGTTATGGGTCACCAAATTGAATGAAATCAGATTCATTAGAAAGATAAGACAAAATGCTACAAATTTTCAGAAGGGACCACAGCCCATATCAAACAGGAAGATAGCAAACAAAAGCTCAGAATACAGACCAACAGATCAAACCTGATTCAGCAGAACCAAGTCCAATGTTTCTTGAATTCCTACTTCACCAAACACTCAAATGAAACCAATCTAGAACGGAAAATTCTCAAGACACAGGAGAAACAAAACTTTTATGAAGGAACTCAGAAACCTAATCTTGTCATTATTGTGGTCAAAATGCCGCAACTCAATTTAGTAAATTGCATTTATGGGGCCGAGACACAATAGAGTCAGTTTGGGTGTTCAAGCCATAAGTTGAAGCTATGTATCTCCAATTTGGACACAAGAGGATGGGTTGGAAGATAAGAAGTAAAGATATTAACTTTTATGGAAGAACATAAGACGTTATTTTGCCATTTGAAGAGGTCAAAATGGACAATCATTTCGCGATATACATGGTTTAAGGACACCATAACAGAACCAGTTTTGCCGTATTTAAATTCATAAGTTGAGCCCTACAAGTATTTTGGCAATTAGGACAATAAAAATATGTTTGGAAAGCTGAGGAAATAGAGGAACAACTTTCATGAAGGAAGGTTAGAAACAAATTGAAGTATAAAGGGGTCAAAAATGAGGTTCCAATCCACGGCAGAACATATCTCACATTAAAATTCAGCAATTTAAAACAAAAACCATACAAAAGTTCCCAAAATATATTCAAAACCCTAACCATGTAAAAACAACTTAAACAGTGAAAGTATTATTGCACTAACCTTAATTAACAAAGCATTGAAAAAGCTTGGACCAAGCCTTACCTCCTTGGCTTTCTCTTTACCCTTTGATGGATGGTTCTCCAACCTCTTCAAGCGATGAAAAATTCAAACATTAAAAAGCAAAACTTGACAAAAAAAGAAATAGTTGGAGGCATGATTTAATGCATTTCAATTAACATGTCTAAACCATAAATTCTACTTAATACAATTCACAAAAAACTCAAAAACCACAAACTTACTTTTGCTAATTAGTTAACTTCACTTCTCTTTGCCTTTTAAATCACCAAATCTTCAACTTCTACTACTTAATTCATAAGCATTAAGTCCTGTTCTATTGGTTTAATTAGGCGTAGTTTGATGGTAAATTTTGGAAAGTAAGGAAAATGAAAGAAAATGAAAGAAGAGGAAAAGAAGATGGAAAATAGCGTGGAGAAGAGAAAGAGAAGAAAGAAAACAAATGTTTGTGGTGTATAACTTTAAGGTGCCCCAAAGTCAAATTTGACTTCCAAATTTTCATGTCCTAAATGTTGTGGCTAAAGATCAAGTCCTAAGTAATCTCATCCAATGGCTCTAAATATTTTTTTTTTTTTTTTTTTTTCCAATGGCTCTAAATATTCCTCAAATAATTCTCTTCTACTTCTTATTTAACTCCACCAATTAATTAAATTAACTCCACTAAAATAATTCCTCATTTCTTTCTTAATATACCACACTAGAAATATTATGCACTTAATACATAAACTTTCCAATAACATTAATTAAATATTTTCTACCCGCCTAAATCATGCAAACATGCTCCAAAAAATTGTAAATAAAATATTAAATATGCAATATTAAATATGCATAGTAATTTTTCCGGACTAAAATAATACCAAGTCCCGAACCGATGGTACTATTCACGGACCGGTAAATCACTATTGCCGACACTAAAAGAAAATCAGTCTGTTACAATTATCAATTCAGATTATTGTCTCATTTTTTTTTTTTAGCTAGCATTAAAAGTAATTTATTACTCCATTCATCTCAAAAGATGGTTCTTCTTTCCTTTTTGGTTTATCCCAAAATATATTCTACTTTACTTTTTTGCATTATAGTTAATCATTAAATTATTTACTACACCCTTATTATTTTTATCTTATTTTACAATAACTCTCGTTAATTTTTACTTATTATTACAATATAATAATTACTCGTGTTATTTAAGATGGACATATTAAGAAAGTTATATGAATAAAATTGTCCTTTAACCATAATAATTACTATTTTTTAAATCTATATGAAAAATAGAAAGTGGATTATCTTTTTGGGACGGAGTAAGTATTATTATTCATTATAATTGTATATAGATATTGATTTGGGATTAAGAGCAGAGTATTGGACATTGAGCAATGACTTGATTTTCTTTTTAGGCACCTATTGAGATTTTAAAAGTCTACATTTATAAATTATGAACTAAAGAATTAGGCCTAAGGATTGGGTTGAACATTATTATGAAACTACTTTATTATATAAAAATAAAATTAAGTATATGAAAAGCAGCGTTACAAGTAGTTTATACGGTAAAATGCAATGCAAATTAATCACTTATATTTATTTTAATATAAACAAAACTTATGCTTTAATATCATATAAATAAAAAAATAAATATATAACGAGTATAATCAACGTAGTAAATCAACGTGCAATGCACGTCATATAAGAGACTATGTATTTTAATATGCTTGGATCAAATTTCACGAAAAACTTCTATTATTATTATGAGGGTAAACTACTAACAAATTTTCTATTATTAACTTTATTGCGTACATGATTAATGATTAAATTAATTATTCTGGATTTTCTTTATTTTAACTCACAATCTATATTTATTTATTTTAATATAAACAAAACTTATGCTTTAATATCATATAAATAAAAAAATAAATATATAACGAGTATAATCAACGTGCAATGCACGTCATATAAGAGACTAGTTATTTTAAATGCTTGGATCAAATTCACGATAAAACTTCTATTATTATTAGAGGGTAACTACTAACAAATTTTCTATTATAACTTTATTGGTACATGATTAATGATTAAATTAATTATTTGATTTCTTTATTTTAACTCAAATCTATATTAATGAATTTCATTTAGTCAGTACTTAATAAGTATAATAATTTTATATTTTTTTAATGAAAAAAATTTTAATTTTTTATCCGATTCATTTCGTCGTGTACCATGTATAGTTGAATTCCGGTTCAATCCCATTGAAATTTCTGTTCCGACCCTACCCATGCACACCTCTAGTTTTCGCATGTGGCCAAGACTCGGAGATAGACAACTAAATGTTGCCAAGACTCCGAGGTACACATCTAACGTGTAATGGTTTACGACCATGTCCTCTAAGATAATTCTCGATGCAGTTCTGTGGTTCGCGAATCCTAGTACTCTCTTTCGCTTTCAATTGTCATTCCTCCTTTCCACCAAGTTGAATTCCAGAGCACTGAGCACATTATTATGGCCACTACACATATTAGCAGCGGTGTTTGTCTCTCGGTTTTAAGTCATAGGAGGAGAATCAATAAAGTGAGAGCTGTTGCTTCTGACAATGTTTCTACTCCAATAATCGAGTTAGACAAGGTGAAGTTGGGAGGCTCTGATTTGAGGGTCACAAAGCTTGGAATAGGAGCTTGGTCATGGGGCGACACAACCTACTGGAACCTTTCTGGGTGGAATGGTAAATGCAAATTAATATAACTTTTTTTTTTTATTTGATGAATTGCTCAATTAGCATATGTTTGTAAAGTATAATAATTGGTTGTATGCTCAATTTACTTGCTGTAGCTTATTGATTTTAGCCCATCGTTTGCACTTTTGGTTAAATTTACAGTTTCCATCATTGATTAGAGCCCATCACTTTATGAAGGATTTTGTTGATGTCAGATGAGTGTATGGTCTTTTTTACAAATCTGAATAATTGCATATACTCAGGGGCCAAGCCGGAGTATCAAATAAAGGGGCCAAACGGTTAAGGAATTTATAGATGTAATTCACATTACGAGAAAAAAGTGTCCTGGATTCAAATTACTCGTTGTAATTCACATTACAAATCTCAAAAATTGCATATGATTTTGTAATTACATTATATTTGCAGATGTTGTATCCTAGTAATTACATTATACTCCCTCGTCTCATTTTATTTGCTTGTTATTCCTTTTTTGGATGTTCGAAAATGTTTGCAAGGTTTCTAAATGTAGACATATAAACAATTATTTTTCAATGATAACCTTTATGATCCTTCATTAAATGAGAGACTTTTATTAATATCTTCAATGAGGTAAGGGTTAAAAAATGATAAAATAACTTTTGTTGACTAAATTCTTAATACACGTGTTTTGAGAAAATGGGACGGAGTGAGTATTATATTGGTAGCATGTAGCTGGTCACTGATGGCTAATAGCTAATAGATGCTGGTTGGAATTCACATTATGTCTTATATTCTGGTAATTTAAGCAACTAAAAATGTTCTTATAGGTAGAACTTATTATATTTCTTTGCTATTGACTTTGTGGTGCTAGTTAGACGAAAGGGAATCACAGCTATTGACAATGCGAAGAATCCCCAAGGGACTCTTGTTAGATGGTTGGGTATGCCGGTTCTCAAGTAAATATTAATAGCTCTTTTCGTGTAAACGATTGCATTTTAGTCTAAGACAAAGAGAACTGTTGGTCAGCCTGTGCACAATACTTAAACTCTGTCTTCAGTCTTCATAAAGATAAGATAAGGGAATCTGTGATAAGCAGACAATATGCTTTTATATGGACCTCATCACTTACTGAATGACCTGTTGGAAAAGAGAAAAGAAGGGCTAAGTCTAGTCTAATAGATAGAACATAGGATCTAGAACTTTCAGTGGGTGAACCTTGCCGGCTTGATGGGAAATAGAATAGATTGATTGGTAGACTTTCCCTAATAGACTCCCAAAGGAGGAGAAATAGTTAGAACTCAAGCTCTAGCATGGTAAACTTCCTTTCTGAAAGAATGATCTGGAGGATGGTCAATCTGTAGATAGGCGCATTGAATTGGCTGGAATAACGAAAAGGTTTTAATCGGATAAAGACTAATGAAACTTTCCTTTCAAGATTGGAACGAAGACCAAGAAAGATAGATCGCCTGGTGTCTAGTATAATTAATTATTTACTATTACTATAGGCAATGAATCTTGTAATCGAAACATGAGCCAAGATCATAAAGAGCATACTGTGAGTAGGAAGTAGAATAAATACAATGAATTCAAAAGTATCAAACCTCTCTTGTTCGGAAGAATCGAAACACATCAAAATGGTGCCAACCATACTTAATAATAGAAGGATTTGGCAGAAAATGTAAAATCGTTCTTCCTAAAAAGATTATTCCAGAATAAATGGGCAATAGTTAGGAGAGGTGCGTCAGCGGCAAGCAGACGCAAGGTTTCAGACATGAGCGTTACCAATCAGAACTTGGAAAGTCACCGCAGGAGACAACCAAACTGATGGAAAATCAGTGGAATGTTCTGGCAGTGATGAAACCAAGCCTGGCTGCCTTACCATGACATTCCCACAAGAGGACCAAGACAACCACAATTCCTTCTATAAGGTAGCCTCAATCTTTCAGTGAAAATGGAGATAAAGCTACAAGCGGGTAAGGCTTCCAAGAAAGAAAGTAGATGGCAAGTGTATCAAGTTATAGAATCTCAAGTAGAAAAATCTGAATGTCATTCGATGATAATGTGGCTTGATATCATCTATAAATCAAATTTTTCTTTCTATTCTTTTCTAAGATAATTATATTTAAGTTTTGTTTTACAATTGGTGTTTAATATACTAGCAGTGGAGTGAAACCAATTTCACAGTTAGTAAATGTAAGAAAACCATGAGAAAAGTTATAATTGGTGCCTGTGCGTAACTCATACGTGTCCAAAGTCAGCTTGGTGAAAATGAAACATACTTTTTAGCATGTAGAAACAGATATTCAGTTACTGTACCTTATTAAGTAATGAAGCTTTTAATGTCAAGTGTCAAGGTTTTTAACTTAGCTATTATTCCAATTGAACTTTTGACATTATTAGTCGTTGGTGTTATAGACAGATGTAAAACATCCCTTTTTCTTTTCTTTGCTGACTTGCTCACCAAGTTGATTCTTAGTTTGAATTGATTTTACATGAAATTACTGCATTTCTGATGTGTTGTCTTATTTGCTCTTTCTCCTCTTCTTTCTGTGTGCATCAGTGCATATATCTTCTTAACTAAGTTGTTCTCTAAATTTATTTTCCGTGAAGCATGTTAACATTTTCATATGCTTTTTGTTGTGATAACAGATAGGAATTTCAAGGCTGCTAAATCTGCCTTTGACATTAGTATTGATTCTGGTATAACCTTTTTTGATACTGCTGAAGTTTATGGCTCTGCGGTGAGGATTAAATTCTATTTAGTTTTATTTTCTTCCCAGTCGACTGCCATGAAAATAAGTACTATCTATTTGACAGCTAATGGGTGCTATAAATTCGGAAACTCTTCTTGGAAGGTACATTCTCAAACTTTAATTCTGATTTCATCTAATATGGAGGATTAATTTGTGATACATATATGTCTTCTATCTTAATGTTCTTTCTTCTTCTGTTTGAACTTTATAACTAAAGATTTATCAAGGAAAGGAAAGTAAGAGATCCTGATCTGGAGGTTGCAATAGCAACAAAGTATGCAGCTCTGCCTTGGAGGCTAGGACGGAATAGTGTTCTAACTGCGCTTAAGGATTCCCTTTCTCGCCTTGAACTTTCTTCAGTCGAGCTCTATCAACTCCACTGGTATATCCTGCTGATATTATGTGTGATTTCCATCTGTAAGTGTTTCCTAAAGATATGGTTACTCATCAAAATTTTGCTGGTCTGCAGGCCTGGAATATGGGGAAATGAAGGTGGTTAATTTGTCATAGCATTATTTCATTGAGCAAATAACTATGTATAATTTTTATGGAACTCAGTCACTTTCAGATTCAGAAGAAGCTCAGTTTATTGGAAGTTCATTTCAGGATATCTTGATGGCCTTGGAGATGCTGTCGAGCAGGGCCTTGTGAAGGCAGTTGGTGTTTCAAACTACAGTGGTAATTTTCTAATTTATGTTGTCTGAACTGAATATGATTTGAATATTAGAACTTGATTACCTGTATATTCCCATTACAAAAAAATGAAGGGTAGATGTTAGTATAAGATGCACGTTACCTTGATTTAGTTTCTAAAAGTAATCAACTTGACTTTAGATTTTTGTTATATGCAATGGTTCATCTTTTTTCTCCTATCAGAGAGCCGACTTCGTGGTGCTTATGAGAAGCTTAAGAAAAGAGGTATTCCACTAGCTTCAAACCAAGTGAATTACAGCCTTATATATAGGTTACCAGAGGAGAATGGAGTGAAGGCAGCTTGTGATGAACTTGGGATCACTTTGATTGCATATTCTCCCATTGCTCAAGGTATTGTCGTAGCTGTTTGTTCATGGTCTTCTATAAATCTTAATTGGCTTTACAAATTATCTAGTGCGTTGGTAAAAGTTTTTGGCTAGCATGTGACATAGGACAGCTTGTGGGAGTGGTTAATGCTAAATTGCAGCTTAATTTTGGGGTTTATTAAACTTTGAGAATTGGTAATATTTAGGTGAATGATTAGATTTTGCATGGGAATAGGTTAAACAAGCAAAAAGAACACAAAAGGAGGGTTATGGAATGGGTTTGTGGAGGTAAAGGGCTGTGAACATTATGCGAAAATACTAAAATAGAAGGATAAGTATTTAGGCTTCTTTCTGAACAGTAAGATTCCATAAGCATCACACCTATAACTTGAATTGCACCACACAACACGAAGTAGCATAAAAACTGGTTTCTTTTACTGAATAGCAAAAGTGAAAATGATTTTAAAATAGTACTTATTTATAGACTTAAACTAATACTGATCCTTTTATGGAAATGATTTTAAAATAATTCCTACGCCTTTAAACGAGGGACATTAAGACTAGCCCATTCCTTCAAGGTTTTGGACTCCCAGAATAAACCAAGGTAATATTCTGAACTCACAACAAGGACTCCAAAATAAGATTTAGAATAAGTATGAGGACTCCTAGAAAATTGTTATTGTGGATGTAAGAAGACAGACTTTACCTTATCACTCCTGTCATTGCATACCATAATTATGCTCCAACACTAAGGCTGTTGTCAAATTAGGGAGCAGGGGAAATCTTCCTCTGCAAATGTAAATAAATTAGTGTATGAGTGATTGTTGTTCTGTCAAAGAATAATAGTAATAATAGCAAAAACAACAGCAATAATACTAATAATCATACTACTAGTGGTGGGTGAATGGAGAAACCTACAATGATCTAACTTGATTTGGATGTTCTTTTTGCATAATACTTTGCTAGAACTTGTTCCATCCAAAATCAATGGCTCTGAAAGTTCAAGGGTCCAAAACTTTTTCCAGTTCATCATTGAAGTAATTAAGCTGCTTAAAAACAACTTATTTTGTTTGTTGTTATTCTACTTTTGCTGTTTTCATTAAAATTTGGGTGCAGTAATAAATGATCTATTAAACTTATGCAGGTGTCCTCACAGGAAAGTATACACCAGAAAATCCACCAACTGGCCCTCGAGGCCGAATTTACACACCTGAGTTTCTTAAAAAGGTATGTCTGATACCCAATCAACATTTGAATATTAGTAAAGGAGGCTGTTTGCATATAAGCATGTCAAAATAATTCTTAATATCATCAACAGTAACCGTATTTATGATTGAATTTCAGCAACTATTAAATTTCCATTTGTCTCGGCAAAGGCACTAAACTTTTTTATTTCGTTTAGTACTCACCTTACCAAATTTGTGTACAGATTTTAGCCAAATTTTCTATCTATTGACTAAGGAATACCTATTTTTAATTGCAGAACCCTGTTAATAAATTTTACTTGGTTATCATATCAAGAATTTGGACAAAATTCTATCAAAATTTAGCAAAATAAACCTTATTGAAACAAAATTAAAAAGTTGTGAGATTAGCAAATTGAAGTTTAATGGTCACACTGGAAGGAGTGCTAGGTATAATTGCCATGGGTGCAAGTAAGCATTAGAATTAAGCTTAATTTTCAGGTCGTACTCGTAGGCTAGCTTAGTTAAGTTTCAGTCAGTAGGCTACTCCAGTCTCAAGGCATGCACACTCCGAGGTGCATTATACTCTTGGTTCGGATCGTTTTATATAAATTAGTCGGTTAAGCTTATAATCAAACCAATATGGCTACAGCAATCAAAACCGATCAGTTCGGTTGAAATACCAGTTTCAGTCTGGTTCCAAGTCTGGAAAGTTGGTTTGCTTTTTTCACCTTGGTTAACCGAACCGACCATTTTCTTTCTGCTGAATTCCAATGAAACTGCTGACACATAAACTTGTTTTTAATGCTCCAACTTATGTTCCATAGCTTTAAATATAAAATCCTTAGCTGAAGTATCCTTGTCCATTGCAGCTTCAACCTCTATTAAGCCGGATCAAGGAAATAGGAGAGAAGTACAGTAAAACTCCCACACAGGTTCAACTTATTATTTTTAAAACTCCTGTGTTTCTTTTGAGCTTTTCGATCCTAAAGCACCAATATTTAATGCTTCAAACTTGCATGGACATGACTAACACTGAATAGGAAAAATACCATTATCTTATGTATATATTTGTGTATACAGGTAGCCTTGAACTGGCTAGTAGCTCAAGAAAATGTTGTTCCAATCCCAGGAGCAAAAACTGCAGATCAGGCGGTGGAATTTGCAGGAGCACTTGGGTGGAGGCTTGCAATTGAAGAGGTCAATGAACTGCGCTCTTTGGCATTGGAGATCCAGCCTGTAGTAGGCTTCCCTGTTGAGAAGTTATAATTTTTACTCAAAACATTCTATAAACTAAATGCAACTCTGATAACTCACTGGTCTCCAAACCAAATTCCCTGTCTAAATTACATTGGTGCAGTTATTTGCTAGAAATCTTTTAATAGTTTCTTAATAGATGTGAATGTGTCGGAGATGTGTATATAATTAAGCTGTATATAATAGATCAAAATGTAAATAGATCAAATAAATGCATCCTAGTAGTTAATACATCACAATGGTTGAGGTTTCGTGATGGTCCATATTAATGGCAATTTTGTCTTCCTCTCCTGTGAGGCAGATTTCTAGCTACCAAGGTAAGCTACATAGCGTTGATTAAAAGGAGGCAGTGAATGCTAGTTCGGCTCATACCGGTTTTGCAAGTTCTCAGATTTTCCTGTTTGACTCAATTTTTATATCATCAGATTTTTTATGTCAAACCAAACCGGATTAACTACGATCATGAGTTAATTGATCTGACCTACTGGTCTAGTCTTTTGTTTTTTTTTTTTTTTTTTTTTTTTTTTTTTTTATTAAATGCAAATTTTGTCTTCCTCTCCTGTGAGGCAGATGTTCTAGCTACCAAGGTAAGCTACATAGCGTTGATTAAAAGGAGGCAGTGAATGCTAAGTTTCGGCTCTACCGGTTTTGCAAGTTCGCTTCAGATTTATCCTAGTTTGACTCAATTTTTATATCATCAGATTTTTTATGTCAAACCAAACCGGATTAAACTACTTATCATGAGTTAATTGATCTGACGCTACTGGTTCTAGTCTTTTGTTTTTTTTTTTTTTTTTTTTTTTTTTTTTTTGAATGGTGAACTTTATTTTTTTTTTTTTTTTTTTTTTTTTTTTTTTTTTTTTGAATGGTGAACTTTATCAATAATTCAAATCAGCAACAAGAATACTCTTAATATGGCCGGGAACAACAGACCAAAAATTAAGACTAGCATGATTTATTGCTTCTCTAACGAGCATGAGCAGCCATATTGGTTTGTGTTCTAGTCCAAACAATATCATGAATGTTTCGAGATAATAATTCCTTACAATCTTGAACCAGCATACCCAACATGTCCCTTGACAGCCTTACAGACTACTTGAGCATCCAACTCCACAATAACTCCAGCCAAGCCTATCTGCTTCAGCCATGATACAACCTCCCTATGGCCAATGGTCTCCACTAGTTTCAACGGATACAGCCCCTCACAGAAGCCGGTGATGCCGCAAATACATATTCCATTCTCATCTCTAACAAGAGCACCGAACCTGACCTGTTAGCTGCTTAAAGGTGGTTGAGTCGACATTGCACTTCACCAACCCCGTAGGAGGTGGCTGCCATTTCTGAGGAATAGTCGGAGTGTGCAACGTTGAACTCAAGGGAGTGAAAACCAGTTGAGCCGACTGCCAATCATGAAGGATGCTCAACGCAGAACTAACAATCACCGACGGCGATGATTGGATGCCATGCCAAATATGCTTACTTTTGCAGTTCCAGATATTCCATGCTATCACAGCTGCTTCCGCCCTATCCACCATCTCACCCCTATCCCACACCAGCTTTTGCCAGTATTTAATACCCTCTACAATAAGATCCTGAGTCCACAGTCGGCAACCTGCACAGCAAGAGACAGCCACCGAACAGTACACCAAAGCATGTATTGCTGGCTCGTCCTCATTGCACACCAAATACCGGCCATCAATATTCAAATCTTTCCTACACAGTCGGCTCTTAGACTGAATTATCATGACAAGCACGCCACAGGAATGTGAAACCTTAGGCGGGACTTGTAACTCCCACATATGTCTCCACACCACCTCATTTGCTGCAGCTCGCCTGCAAAAATAAGCTGCTTTGCAGTATACTTACCATCGGTTGTCCAATGCCAAATCGACCTTTCCTCACAATCCCTACAACTCAACTTCATACAAAGGACAATATCAGCAACAGCAGGAGGAAACAACCCTCTAACTAGATCAATATTCCAGCTGCCAGCCATGGATTCACGCAAATCAACAACTCTCAAGTCTTCAAAACCAGGTATAGGTTCCACTGGAACTCTGAAAAACTCATCACAATTTAACCAAGGGTCCTTCCAAACGTTAATAAAATAGCCATTCCCAATACGCCAACGAAGTCCAAGCTGAAGCAACTCCTTCAACGACACAAGACTCCTCCCAATAAAACTGGGGTTTGTTCCCAAGGAAGCACCCAAAAAATCCCCTGCAGGGAAATATCTTCCTTTGTAAAACTCATCACAATTTAACCAAGGGTCCTTCCAAACGTTAATAAAATAGCCATTCCCAATACGCCAACGAAGTCCAAGCTGAAGCAACTCCTTCAACGACACAAGACTCCTCCAAATAAAACTGGGGTTTGTTCCCAAGGAAGCACCCAAAAAATCCCCAGCAGGGAAATATCTTCCTTTGTATACTTTAGTAAGAAGAGTGTCATGACTAGAGAGGATTCGCCATGCTTGTTTACCAATAAGAGCTGATAATATACAATAATAAAATACATAAAAGAACAATATATAAATATATTACATTTCTAAATCCGTATTCTAACTGATAGGATTCTTACAATCCCTGTTCTAGTAAAATTTATCTGGATCCAATGTATATACTCAAATTTACTCCAAGCAAGGGGAATCCTCAAATATTCTAACTCCTCAATTCTGATGGTTAACAAATGTTGGGGTTGCGTGGAACACTCCTTCCATTCTTATTTTTCTTTTACAAAGAAAAAATCCTTATCCTTGATCTTCATAGATATTAACAAATACGTAGATATAAATTGTTGTCCTAATTGAGACATAGTCGGCTACGTCTCCTCTTAACTAGGATCAGAAGCTTTGTCAGGGAGTTGATCGATGAAGATGAGCTTGATTTGAAAGAAGGCAGCTTGTATCACGTTGTTTCCGCGAATTACTTCTGTCTGATCTCTATTTATTCTTGTGGTTTGCGACGTATGTATATATATTGGTCGTGGATTTGATTCTTATTTCGCTGGATGTCGAGATGCATGAGAGCAATATCTGAATTTGATTTCTTCTGTTACTTTCTGATTACAAAATAGTAGCTTTTCAGGGTGTATTCAAGCAACCATAAAATAACACACGGAATTATTATTATTATTATTTTTTGAATCTGATACTCCTCCTCGCATGGAATCAGCTAACTAGGACTTTCACAATGGAGTGTGCTATTCAGCTCTATGTTATTATTCCATCATCTGATCTATGGATTAATTCTAATTGGTTATGGAGTTTGCCTTGCAAGATATTTGTTTCTGATTGATTCTCTTAACTACATATTGGACGCCATATTAGTTCTGCTTCCTAAACCTTTGTCCTGCGTTTCCAGAATTAGTCTTAGTGCTTATTGTTTGAGAACGTCGGCATAAATGGGAATGATTGTAGCTTTCCGGCTGTGTTCCAAACTTAATATGTCTCTGATAAGTTTAGACCAAGCAGTCATTTAAATTATGGGAAAAAGGATAGTAAAGTAATCTGTGATATGTGAAAAAAATTCTAAAAACACTCATTGTTGCGTATGCTGATATGACATGGATTGTAAATTTGGAGTGCCCTTTCGAATTTGATTGAGGCGTTTGTTGATCAGAAATATATTTGGCTATCTCGTTGGTCTGCACGATATGGTTATTCACAATATATGTGCATCCTTTATAGCTGTTTCAGTGAAGAAAGTATTCTTAACTACTCATTCATTAATTGCCAATGAACATTGGGTTTAGGCTGGCATATCATTCTAAGATCCCCAGATTAAGCTCAATTTAGTATCTAACACCCTATATGTGATGCTTGCATTCTTCTATAGCTGTTATTTAACTATCTGCAGTTCTCTTCTTGATTGTGTTCTATAATTTTCTTTTCCACGACTTTTTGTTGTAGGAAAAATTTTCCTACACTTTTCTAAAAGGGAAAGAATTTTTTTTTTTTTTTTTTTTTTTTTTTTTTTTCCTAATTAATTTTCCTTTTTCCCACGACTTTTTGTTGAGGAAAATTTTACCATTATACTACTGTACTAAAAAGGGGAAAGAATTTTGTTTCTATTTTTTTTTTTGTCTTTTTATTTTTTTTTGTTTAAGCAATTTTTTTTTTTTTTTTTTTTTTTTTTTTTGTTTAGCAAAATTTTAGTGACTCCATTCCGTTGCTGCTTGAATCAGCAGAATCTGCAACTTATAACTCAAGTTTAAGAGTAATTTATGTTTGATTAACAGCTGGGGGTTTTACAATTAATTACCTGAAAGGTCTTCCTCAGGAATTTCATGTGTGAAAATCTTAAGTCTTTCTTTCCAGATTCGACGCAACTTAGAGAAATGCCTAGTACTTTATGGCACCATTTTGCACTTTTCTTATATGAATTCTGCTATTTTATGTTTGATTTACTTGAACCCACTAACTTATGTAGCAATTTTCAATTGAAAAATTAAGTATCATATAAATTTCATTCTTTGCATTTACTCATCTTAGTTTTTCAAAGTTAACTTGAACCAAAATCTCTTCATTTGGTGCCATTTTTGTACTTCTCTTTATGAATTCTGCTATTTATGGTACGCTCATAAATATAAAATAAGTAATTGCCAGGCTGCTCTATAGTCAATCTGCAGATAGACAGTTATGGTAGCTTCTAAAATATTACTGCATTAACTCATCCGTTACTGCAATATTTTGTACATCTCACAATCAATTTTTTTTTTTTTATTTGTTCCGACTTCCATAAAACTGAAATGTTAAAAAGAAAGAAAGAAATAAATCCATTCATCATGGAATATTTAATCTTTGGATTACTAGATGTTTTAGGATTTGGTATGATTTGTTTTATAAATGTAATAGAATCATTTTATTTTAGGTAATATTTTTCAATGCAGAACCCAAAAATGGTTAAGCATATCATTGAAACTAGACATTCAAGGTCATATTTTTTGTATTAGATAGATGTGATAGTTGAAGTTTGCTGTTTTTGTTGTGGGGTCCCTCCAACATGTGGGATCCACATACATTTGAAAAGAAAAAAAAAAAGGGAGCACGTTTTTGTTGTTCAAAAGAGGCCCAAACATACATTTGAAAAGAAAAAACAAAAAGGGAGCAACGTTTTTGTTGTTCAAGAAGAGGCAGCAAAATTAAAAATGAGTACACATTCTTTTTTCCAAACAAAAACGTTGGTGGAATTGACGTTGATTATAAAACGCATTCCCCTCTCCTAGTTTCCTCAATGAAAATGTACATAAAACAATAGAATAGAAATATTACAAAAAGATGTATAAAACATTTTATATAAGAAAGGGTTCCTAAAATTGGGTAAAGCAGAGATAAATAGTGAAGGAAATTATTTTTTTGGGGTATTATTTGAAAAACACTTTAAAGTGCCACTATTTTTGTAATCTCTTTTTGTACCTTACTTTTTGAAGTGAGAATTAATTCGCAGTTTTTGTCCCGTGGATGTAGCCCATAACAGTTGAAAGGTGGAACCACGTAGAATTCTCGGTGTTCTTCTTAATTTTTTCATCTGGCATTTATGGTAATATTAATTATTACCGTGGTTATTATCTTTAGTGGATTCGATCGTCAATATCCAAATATAAAATTATTGGAGGTATATGTGTAATAGTAATTTTATTTTACTTTTAACCAACCGGTATTCTTTTCGCTGGAGCCCCCACTCGGGAATTAGTTAGAAATCCCAACACACTTGGCTATCAGAGTCCCCCCTCCCTTTTTGGGTATTTCGGTAAAATTCTGTCAAAATTTTCCTTACAAAAGATTTATACTAATTCACTTATGAATAGTAAATTAGCAGTTGAATAGTAAAATTTTGTCAGATTCAGAAACTCGAGCATGAACATAACGACGGGGCAATGCATTCAAATTGAAGGATTCGAATTAATTCAGATTATACTGGATGAAATCGTAGTTATATGGAAGGACTTACCTTCAAATTTAGCAAAAAGATCTGTACGATCCAATTGAAGGTGATAGTGCAAAGCCGGAAGAAAGAAAGAAAAGGCAAGTGGGAAGAAATTAAAAAATAGACAATTTGGGTATAAATCAATATGCCAAATTGGATAGATGCTAGCATCTTGTACAACCATAGTGTATGAAATGAAAAAGATCCCAGTACTCTAGAAATGAACATTAAGCAGAATATGTACGAGGCTACGAAACTCAAAGGAAAAGTCTTCCAAATTGTGCGTAAAAGTCATGAACTTGATAGCCTGTAAGCAGGGACGATCAATTACACAACACCTTAACCGATTTTGAAGGACTCGTAAACTGAGTTAGCCAGTTTAGCGGTATGGTCCTTAGAAGACGAGATGCAAGCGTGCCTTACTTGTTGGGATCTCTACTGGATAGCTAGAGAATAACTCTTGTGGTATCATTGAGTAACTCAGCTCCAAATGTGGTGGTAACGAGATGATCCTATGGTAAAAGAATAGACTACTTTAATGAAGATACTACGAAGAAGTAGATGGTTGCCAGTACCAGTTCCAACCAATGCCCTGTGGTTCACAGAGAAATTAGGGGGCCGGAGCAAGAGTAGAGGTCCAAGGGCAATATGTAAAGTTCAGCGGCGGTAAGAATCCAAGTCCAAGAGAGATGAGAAAAAATGTTACCATTAAGCGTAAAGCGAGGGTCATCTCAAAAGAAATTGTCGTTTACTTTCAAACAGGATAATCAATCAGACCGAAGACAAAGGAGAATGACAGAAAGACAGGAGAATGACAGAAATACATCTGCTACAGTCTCAGGAGAAGATGGTGCGGTGACTTTAGTCACTCATGATGCAGATTGCTGTCATGTTGGAGATGCAAATACTGAGTGGATAGTGGACTCCGATGCTTCATACCACTATGTTCCAAAAAGGGAATACTTTTCCACTTATAAAGCAGGAGATTTCGGCACTATTAAAATGGGAAATAATAGTGTCATAATAGTGTCTCGCAAATGGTGGGAATCGGTGATATCTGCATAAGGACAAGTGTCGGGTGCACATTAACACTTAAAAATGTGAGACATATTCCCGATCTTCGGTTGAACCTGTTGTCTGTAAGTGTACTGGACAACAAAGGCTATCACCATCATAGAGGTGACGGTAATCGGAAACTCACCAAAGGATCTTTGGTGGTGGCGAGAGGAAAATTATGTTGCTCACTGTATAAGACGCATGCAATAATATGTGCGGGTCAACTGAATATAGTTGAAGATGATGCTTCACCAAATTTGTGGCATAAGCGACTGGTGCACGTTAGTGAGAAAGGGTTGTATAATTGCGTTAGTGAGAAAGGGTTGAATATGTTGGCTACGAAGTTCCTCATATCCGACTTAGCCAAAGGTAAAATAAACCCTTTGTGATCAATTGTTTAACTTTGGGGAGCAACAACGAGTCTCATATTTTAAAAGCTCCACGAGAAGGGAGAGACAACAAGTGGAGTATAGTACATCTCTGAACGGTATGTGGTCCCATGGAGGGTAAAATCACTTGGAGGAACTAAATAATTTTTCTAAACCTTTTCATTTGATCGATTTTCTCACTGAAAAACATGATATATTTGTTGCGCAACAAAAGAAATCAAAGTATTCAAGCACTTTCAGCAATTCCATGCGATGGTGGAAAGGGAGACCTGGAGTGGCATGAAGTGTTTTTGCGCACAGATAATGGTGGTGAGTATATCTCTAAGGAGTTTTACGAGATTATTGTAGTCAGCAAGTAATCAGGCAATGAAAAGACAGTTCCTGGTAACGCTTCAACACAAACGCGTTGCTGAGAACGGATGATCAAACCAATGTGAAAGAGTTAGATCCATGCTCAAAATGGCCACTTACCTAAGGCCATTTGGGGAGAAGCTTGTAATATTGCTGTCTTACCTAATCACACGACTGACCTTTCAGCACCATTGTATTTTTGATTAATCACCCGGAGAAGGGTCTGGACAGGTAGAATATTTCATACTCTTCTACCTGAGTGGTATTTGGACTGTAAGCATTTATGCATGTTCCCGAAGGAGCAGAGATCAAAGTTTTGACACAAGTCAGTTCCTTGCACCTTTTGTTGGGTTATGGAGACGAAGAGTTTGGCTACAAGGTTGTGGGACCTAGTGAAAAACGAAAGTTGTCCCAGAGCCGAGACGTGTAGTATTCTACATAGAATGAGATTGTGGCAAGATACAATCTTGTGAAGACATACCCAGAAGTGATGGTGGTTATTAATATACACCAGGAAGCATTCCTACATATGAATGCCACAGAAGAGGAAGCCAGAATCCAAACGAGAAAGAAGAAGAAGATTCCAGTCGTAAGGGGATCAAGAAAGACAATTGTAGATGATAACGAGTGATGCAGAGGGTGTTGAAGACAGGGAGCCCAGAGAAACCCCATTTCACCAAAAGAGGTTGAATCTCAGTTAAGAAGGTCAACCCAGAGACGCCAACCATTCTCCACCAAGGTACTTTTACTTCTGATTACATTTTGACTTACTGATAGGGGGAGCCAAAAAGCTTCCAAAGATGTGTAATCTTGCAAAAGACAGAGATTGCTGGAACCAAAGGCCACTCAAGGAAGAGATGATAGTCTTTGAAAAGAAAATGATCATCGTATGAGCTGGTAAAAACTCCCAGAAGGGAAGAGAACACCTCAAGAACCAAAATGGGTGTACAAACCTGAAGAAAGATGATGGCAATCTAAGTAAAGATACAAAGCTTGATTGGTCATCAAAGGCTTTACTCCAAAAGAAAGGTATTGACTCTTTGAATGAGATTTTTCAAACTAGGTTGTTGAAAATGAAGTTCTATTTTCGAGTTGTTGCTAGGTCTAGTAGCCAGTTTGAATCTTGAGTTTGGAACAACTTGATGTAAAGACCGCTATTCTTGCCAATGGGGATCTAGAGGAAAAATCTGATATGGAACAACCAGAAGGATTTCAAGTCAAGGGAAAGAGGACATGGTTTTGTCGCTTGAAAGAAGAGCCTGTATCAGGTTGACAAAGCACCGCGACAATGGTATAAAAAGGTTTTGATTCTTCAATGGTGAATCAAGGATACAAAAGGACAGAAAGGCAGATCATTGTGTATGTTCAGAAATTCCCTTATGATGGTAAATTTATCATCGCTTCTCTTTATGTTTGAGATATGCCTAATCGTTGACTATGATGCACACATGATTAGCAGGGTCTTAAAAGAGTGATTGTCAAAACGCATTTGACATGAAAGGATTTGGGGGATTGGCAAGGCGAATTCTCGGAATGAGATTATTCGAGGACAAAAAGTCCTGGCGAGTGGTTATGGGTTATTATCGCCAGGAAAATATATTGAACGTATTTCTAAGAGAGGTTCAATATTGAAGAATGCTTAAACTCAATTTAGCAACTTCGCTTGCTGCTCACTATAGAGTTGAGTAAAAAATCCTCTAAACCACATCAAAACATGAAGAAAGAAATGTCAAATGTTCCATATTCTTCAACGGTCGAAAGTTTGATGTACGCAATGGTGTGTACAAGACCAGATATCGCTCATGCAGTTGGCGCTGTGAGCCGATTTCTATCAAATCCTCAGAAGACACATTGGGAAGCAGTGAAGTGGATCTTCAGATACTTGGGAGGAACTTCAAAGTTATGTTTAACTTTTGGAGGTGAAAAGACTGCACTAGTTGGTTACACATATGCAGACGCCGGTGATCTTGATGAAAGAAAATCTACATCAGGATACCTATTTACATTCTCAGGGGGAGCTATTTCATGGCAGTCAAGGTTACAAAAATGTGTTTCGTTATCAACAACCATGGCAGTCAAGGTTACAAAAATGTGTTTCGTTATCAACAACCGAAGCAGAGTACGTTGCAGCAACTGAAGCAGGAAAGGAAATGCTTTGGTTAAGCGATTCTTTCAAGAATTGGATGTGCAGCAGGAAGAATATATAGTTTATTGTGATAGTCAAAGTACTTTAGACTTAAAGCAAAAATACAATGTATCTTGCACGAACGAAACACATTGATGTAAGATATCATTGGCTTAGACTTGCCATTGAAGAGAAGCAGTTCCAGTTATAAAAAATCCACACAGACAGAAATGCTGCAGATATATTTGCTGCAGATATATTGACAAAGGTCGTTCCGAAGGAGAAGTTCGAACTATGTGTCAAAGCGGCAGGAATGGAGAGTCCCACCATGTAGTCGGGGGAGAATTGTTGTGGGGTCCCTCCAACATGTGGGACTATTTTCGTCTAGAGATCCAACCCCGGAAGGACCTCGGAAAACTTTTGCTTTTAGATTATTTTATTATTTGAGATGTGATTCTTATTTAGCAAATGGTGACAAAACCTTTTTATTGGATATGCAATGCCGATAAATCGGTCTTATAAAACATTTGAGTCGCCACCCATTATTTCGGCAATGGGATCATTTCCAATTTTATTTTATAAAAAAGTGACTTGATTTAACCCAATTTTATTCAATTTTATTTAAGGCAATTATTTGAAAAAACTGGATCTAGGCGGTTACACGTGATTCCTGCGATTCTACGCGTAAGGGAAGTTGAATTGGGTACGTCGGCCCGTTGGAAGCCGATGCCCAGAAAATCGGCCTCTTTTAACCTACAATTTCTAATTTATTATAATTTAGAAAAGCCAATTTATTTACATAAACCCAACTCGAATAAATCGAACTGAGTTCCTATGTGGAAAATCATTTAATCGTTCCAAATAAATTCATCTATTGCATTCATAATCATTCAAACCACATCAATCATTCAACCCATACACATCAATCATCCAACCCATAGCAAAAATAATCACCCATAGCAATTAAGTTAAAATAATCAAAAGACCCGCTCTTGCCTTATGGTTAAAGGCGGGCCACAAACCAAACCTAAAATACATTCTACCCGATTAAAATACAATAAACCTTAAAATCCCATAATCATGCATAATAAAATATTAACCTATTTGATTTGATTAAACCACAATCTGCCCATTATTGGTTATTTCTTGAATTAAAAAAGGAATTAAATATTTATTTAATTACACAGAATAATAAAAAATGAATTAATTCTGGGACCTTAGAACAGTCGCGTCACGCAGCTGTTCTATGGAAGAACAATTGCGTGAAGGATCTCATAGCTGCGTGACGCAGCTGTTCGTGATTTTTGTCAAAATTTTCAGATTCATCCATCATTTATTTAAAATATAATATTAAATAAAAAAGATATAAACGAAATAAAATTATGAGCATGAACAGTTCCATCACGCAGCTAGTCGGGGCAATGTCAACCTCTTTTAGACATGAACAGTTCCGTCACGCAGCTTGTAGCTGCGTGACGTAACTGCTCTGGTCCGTAACTACCTTTCAAACTACGTTTTCTTTTTACCAAACTTGTTTAATATACCTCAGAA